ACTATGATGGATTCCAATGGGCATGAGAGTGACCTCACCATAAACCAACCTCATCAAGAATAAAATAAACGCGTCGTGTACGTTGAGTTTGATATTATATCAACATAAAAAACTATAATAATATAAAGTTATATATAACTTTATTCAATAAGGCTCAGTTTTTATGCAAAGTTCATTGACTTTATATGGTATAAATGATGGTTTCAAAGAAGATAAAAATTCTATTTTTAATTTAATTCATGTAATTTTGAATCGGTTAACTTATGGAAGGTTCAATGTTTATGTAATACTTATATATAGCCCATTTTCTTCCAAACAAATGAATAAAATTGGTGTCGTCTCATGGTTTTATTAAACAATTTAATTTACTAAAACAAATTGATAACCATAACTAATGTGCCTTCCTACGAAGCTTCAAATCTTGAGGGTTTGACTATTGAGTCCATTGTAGAAGCTTCAAATCATGGGCTAGATAAAGGCAGGAAATATTTGGGTTGTAGCCCATTAGCAAGGTATGGGTCTAACAAAGCAACTATGATTCACAAGAATCTAACAAAAAAATATTTTAAAATAGTAATAAAAAAATAAAAAAATAAAATAAAAAAGAAAGAAAGAAACATACTATGTGAAAATAAAGCAAACAACACCTTAATAATAATTTTAAAAAAAGGAAATTCAATTACAAGATGATGCTCTTACTTTTTATTACCAAGTAGAAAAACAGATTGGGATATAGTTACAAATTGAATTAAAAAATGACTCAAAATATAAAAACGGATTGGTGCTCTTGGGTGACCCTCAGCAATCGCATAGTTCTGGAACGTTCCTCTATCTCGATTGACAACATACAAATACTTGAAAAAAAAAAAAAGGGTGAATATAAAAATACTCAATAAGCAACCTACTTGTGTCCTCTCATAACATTCTAAATCTTGGAAATTTAGGTCGAGTCTCTACTACAATCTGAGTATCTTAGGTGCTTCAAACTTTCAAACGGTTCTCTAGTTACTCACGGCTCTAATTTTGGGGGAGGTAGTTCGTCCCATTTTGGCATTGTGGGTCTACTAAATTACCAATCTGATGTCTAGGATGAACTATTTTCTTTTGTTAAACTTATGTAGATTGCTATGCTCTCGCAGACCTCCTGGGTTGAGGCATTACGTCATACAACTTTGATGGGACAATATAGTTTTTGGTAGTTTAAACATCATCCATGGGAGGTTAGCTGGTAGACTCTCCCACGAGATTATAAATTCACCTAAGTTTGGAGGGTGTGACCCCCATGTGCCAACCAGCTACTAAATAACTTAGTGGTCCCATGTTCCCCTCTCAGGAATGGATTTACAACACAAAGACTTTAGGAGACTTCTGACCATTTTTGCGAGGTTGAGGCACCTAGTCGTCTCGACACACTTCTCTAACAAGCCTAGTCTAGATCAATAATGCAATTACTAGAGTTAAGAGAGTAACGAAAACTTTGATCACTACATACTGTTCGCTTGGAGAGCTTCCTCGATTATTCTTTGATTTCGTGGAGGTCTACTAGGTTCTTAAGGGTGTCTAGAAGGTTTAAATCATGTATCTCATTTCCAAGACATTTAGGACTAGGTCCTTAAGCTATTCCATTCTCTAAGTGCATATAGGTCTAGACCTTAAAATTTAGGGTATTCTGTTTGACTCCTCTAATCTTCCTTAGTTTTGGAGCACTAGGATCTAGATCCTTTAACTACCACTCATGATCCTAAGGTGCTCAGTCTTGTAGAGGTGTCCTAACCTAGGTCATCATCTAACAAACCTAATTCTAGCATCGTAATTATAGTTTTATGCAGATAGACACACTCTATAGGGAGAATACATGATCAATCTCATAAAGCTAAACATACTATATCATGTAAATATACAAGTTCAACGGGAAAATAACATCCATCAATCGCCCAAAGCATAGGTCACAATATCCCATCCTCTATTCAAGTACAACCGAAAGCAAATAAAATAGCATACTTCTCAAAATCTCAAACCTTGGGTCATTTTAGTAATTATCCATATCTGCTTGACCAAATTGCCCTACTTCTTATCATGCATATTTTCTTAACTTGACAAAAAGCATAAAAATCAACTTACATCTCAAAATCTCATCATATGGGCATAAATTATACTTAGAATTCTAGTCCAAATTGACCTTTTAGAGACCTAAACATGCCTATTATAACAACCTAAGGTAATAAATACATGCATTCTAGCTCGTTCTAACTGATCCTTACAAGTATTATTTTAGAAAAGTTCGAGAGGTTATTTATATGGATACACGTCTTCTTGAAATAGCTTTTCTTCGCATTAGGAGCTCCAAATTTTTTTTAAATTTCTTTGGTAAGTTCTCATTCAAGTCTTCTTCTATTCTTAAAAAAAAAAAAAAATCTTTCTCTCCAAGTTATTTTTTCTATTTTGTTTATTTATTTAGGTATATTTCGATTGTATGCTATTTCTCTCCCGAATAATAATTCGAAAGGATGGAAGTGAATTATCTTTTCTTTAAGAACCCAATAGAGTCCTATATATATACCTCTCATTGGTGCTATGTGATATGTGTTCATTTTCGTAGCAAAAATGTTTCTTATTTTAAATATATATACAACTCGATGTGTTATCTCGATAGTAAAGGGTCATTTATGATGTCGTGGGTAAATTAGGAGAGATTTGATATTTATTTTGACTGAGAAACTAATAGTCAATGGAGCAATGATGATTTATTTCTTTTGGGCAAAAATAATGAATTTGTTTGTGGGTATCACCATGATGGGTTCCAATGGGAATGAGAGTGACCTCACCATAAACCAACATGATCAATAAGAATAAAATAAAAAACATGATCAATGAGTACGTTAAGATGATATTATCAACATAAAAAAACCTTACTATATAAAGTTATATATCTTTATTCATAAAGGCTCCGTTCTTATATTCAATTCACTTTTTGAACTTTTTAAATTTATGCAAAGTTCATTAAAAGAATCCAATCTAACTAATGTGACTTTCTAACAAGGTTTGATTATTGAGTCCATTTTAGAAGCTTCAAATCATGTGCTAGCTAAAGGCATTTATTAGAGAAAGGAAGTAATGAGAATATTTGTTAACACCTAACTCAATAGTAAATAGTGGAGACGGTTCTCTATTTTTAATCATTTATATAATCAAATAAATTATGAATGAAACTAAAAGGAAAGAGCAAAACATGGAGAGAGGCTAGAATATATTTTCTTCTATAATAAAATAGCAATATGATACCTGTGCTAAATAGTAATGGAAAGAAAATATTTAGATATTTACGTATAATAAAATATTAAATATGGTACATAGAGTAAACCGAAATGAAAGGCTAAATATCTCCAATCATACAAGTTGATATATATGATAAACCATAATTCAATGCTAAATATTCTTAACACCCGCAAGTTGAGTGTCAGATTTGAACGAATTTGAAGTTTGAATCTAAAAAATTCAAAGAGAAATTGAGAAATACGTTTTATACAAATGTCAATAAGAGATGAGAAGGTACATATTGTGTGCAAAGTTTGCCAGCGATAATAAGTTTCCAAAAGAACTGATTATCTAATTCAATATGTTTGGTTGTGCAGGATTATAGCTAAAAAAAAAATATCACTTTGTTGTCATGTAAGAGTAAGGGCTACTTAGGTCGGGTTTACGGGTCGACCTTGGGTCAAGAGTGCAGGGGAGTTAATGAATTGGATCTGGTGGTGGATTACTTCAAATGTGCGGGTCACTAGCGTCTATGGACTTGGACCATACGTGAACCAAGGCCAACGAAAGGGGCCGCACTGATATCCCACCAACGTTAATGGGTCTACCGAACCGAATCCGGACCCAATCTTACCCATGGGCTGCTTCTTCTTCAAGTTCTTCTATTTTTGTGTTAGATGTCATCTTCTCCAAGCCACCTTGTTCATCCTTTTAAAGCAATTTCTTTGGCACATCCTCCCATGGTTCAACCTCTTCTTTGTCTCAGACTAAAGAACTTAATGATAACTTTGTAAAGGCATCACTTGTAATTGTGAACTTAGTCTTAGTCATCATAATTTTTTTATTTTTAGTCTGACTAGAATAGTCATTATTTTTAACTGTTACATTATGCAACCTTAGGTTAATTAGGATGGATGAATTCATTCGTGGCACTATCCTATATGTCCTAAGTCTACTCTGAATTAGCACCGAGGGTTTGAAACCATGAATTTAAGAAAATGGCCCCAGTAGGCAAATCTAGGTAAATCAAGTTTTTTAAGACTAATTTTACAAATTTTTAACTTTAAAGTTACTTTCCAAATTTTCAGTTGTTAGAGTCATTTCTTTTCAATTTATTTTTCTCCGTTTTTTTTAAATAAAATTCTTCTCCTTATTTTCAGTATTTTTCTCTCTCTATAGTCTCCTTAAATTCTGACGTTATAATAAATTAAAAATAGGATAAGTTCATAAAAATTAAAAATTGTCTTCTGTGGGCTCCACTCCCATGTTCTTGGCATATAAAAGTCGAAAGTTCTGGCTGGATAGCCCTCCAAATCCGACCGTGTGATTTGGATCTTATCTCAATTTGAATAAGATAAAATATTTTATATCCAAAAAATTCATAAAAACTAATAATTAATTATTTCAAGCTATCCAGCATTGGTTCACGGAGCCTCAATTTTTACAGACTTTCTAAAATTTTATAGTACTAATTATATTTGAAAATTATTTAAACAAAATATTAACAATTGAAACATTTTTAAAATAAATATTTACAGCTCTCTCGGCCATATTAAGTCGCGTATGAACAATTTTAGGTATCGTAAAAATCATTAGTGTAAACACAATTAAATTTTCAACGTTCAATCCTCATTAAATATTATTAACATTCGATATTTAAAAGTTCAAAACCAACCAACAATCAAACCACCTTTTCAATATTTTGACAGGAGAACAAGGTGACAACAAAATTAAGTTCTTGCATATAATTCTCACTTCTTTCCTTTCATTTATCAAGCAAATATATCAAAAACATTATAGTTCCAAAGGAATGCATATGCGAGCCAATGTCAAAATACAAAATCTATCCTGAAATTGATATCGAAACGAAGTGGAATCCGATTGAATCGAGGTACCAACCACACCTCCCATGGAAGCCAACAATCTTGATGAGTCCAGTGGTTGGGAATGAAAACTTGATACCGTCTTCAATCCTAAACGAACCCAAGGTTCTTTGGTTGGTTTCAAAAGTTAGAGACCGAATGACGTTGGTTGGATTCCCATATTTATCAAAGATGCTCCCATGGTAGCCGTGAACTGAAATAAGGTATTCGTCTAGTTCCAACATCTGTAATTTTTTTATAAAAAATTATAATCTGAGAATATTTGCTAAAAGTAACTCACTATATGGATATAAAAAGAGTAATACATGGAAAGAGCAATACAAGGATATGTATATAAGATTTGTCTATAATAAAATATCAAATATGATATATATGGTAAACTATAATTAAGACTACGGCGGAGGTGTAAAGCTAACTAGGTCGAATGGTAAATCACCATTTCCGCCTTGATTTTAGACCAAATTGAGTTCCCATCCTTGTCTTCATAATTGATTTGAATGGCATCAATACACTTTCCTCCATGGAAGATTTTGAGCGCTTTGATGGTACAAAAAACAGCTCCGTCGTTCCAATAACGGCCACTCCTACTTCCTTTCGCTTGAAATGTTAGCGTTGGAGAGGGCTTGTGTTCCGTCTGCAACAACATCACAATTCACCAAATCTAACGAACAAAGGTGGCTGCTTTTTGATGCTTCAAACATTTGATATATATATATATATATATATATGTATAGAAGGTCAACCTCAAGCTGTCACACTATTTTATACGTATGCACGTGAATCACGAAGAGGATTATTTTATTATAGTTATTATCATTGATCTCCCTGTAATCATGAACCGGTGTTAAGATAATTAGAAAATTCTGTGGTTTTTAAAAGTTGTTTGTTTTCTCATCCTTGATCCCCCTATGATGAATTCTATAAAGAAATTGTAATCGAATAATAATATAAAAAACAAGCATTTAGTAATTTTTATTGTTATTCATTTGAATTGAATGTTGAGTTGTGCTATCCTTACAAATGGTAATAGATGTAGGAGACCTTCACTATGATCTGTGAAGAAAGAAAGTTCAAAGATTAGGATCGAAAAGTTGGATGGATACGATTTTGGTTTGTGAAGATTACCGGTACCAATAAGATCTTCATTAATCCTTGTTTGAGGTGAAGTCAGATTCCATGTCCATGGAGCAACGGAAGTTCAAGGATCAGTAGGCGCTAGGGATGATCTGATTGATGTTGTCAAGAAACGTGGCATTTAACTTTGTCAAGAGAAGACAATGTCAAATTTATTGATGACATCGAATATGTACGAAATACCGTCGGCTATGAACAAGGTATTATTTGATGCAAACATCGTTTAATTTACAAATATTTGGAGGTGGATTTGTTGCAAATTATATAAATGCATTCAATATGATTATATGTCAAATGAATTTGTGGAAATCAATTTTGAATATGAAATTAAAGCATTGATTTTGATATTTATCTTTACTTGAATCTTGGGACACTATTGTTACTGCGATTAGAAATTTCCAGGATCTAAGAAACTAAAGTTTGATGAAATTTGAAATGTAGTTCTCAGTAAAACAATGTTAGATATATTTCTGATCTCAAGAATAATATAGCCTCAAATGAACGGTATATGTTATACAATAAAGTTTGGAAAGATTTCGTGGAAGATTATGAAGGGTACTATGGTGGTAAAAGGTGGCACAAAATCTAGAACCTTATATATCACTGCAGGGTGTATAAACATGGCTACCATTGCTGATAGTGCTTCCAGTTCAAGTCTATGGTACAATAGACTTAGACACAAGAGTGAAAGGAATGAAGATGTTGATTGCAAAATGAGGCTTAGAGGGTCTAAAATATGTTGACATGAGTCTAGGTGAGAATTATGTTATGGACAAACAAAAGCAAATTAGCTTGATAAAGGTTGATAGAGAACGAAAGAAAGTAGATTAGAATTGGTTTATACATATGTTTGAGGACCATCTCCAGTTTCATCACTTGGTAGATCTAATTCTACGTTACCTTTATCGATGAATTCAACAAGAATGTTTGAATTTATTTTCTCAAACAAAGTCAGATTTTAGTAGGGTGGTTTGAAGATCAAATGTTTGAGATTTTGTAATAACCCAAATAATAATAATAATAATAATAATAATAAAAATAAAAATAAATAAACAAATAAAAATAATTATAAAAAATATATACGTCAAAATAATAATAATGATAATTCGTAAATAAATAACTAAAGAAGGATTACTTAAAAATAAAAATAAAAAAAATAAAATAAAATTTACTCACCTCTCTCCACTAACCTCTCATCCCAAAACAGAAGCAGATAGAAGACATATTTACTTGAGATTTTGGTCTTTTATTATCCTAAATCCTATTTAGATTTCCTTTTTCGTTATAAGAAATTAATTTATGATCAAATTTTCTTTCCTATTTTACGGGTAATAATGAGATCCCATGTCCAATTAATTAGATTTTTGTTAGCATTTTAAGTTAGAGTAAATAAGGTTACAATCAATAAAATTTTAGTTGGAAATCTATAAATCTATAAGATTGTAGCCAAACAATCGAATTAAAATTGGCAAATAATATCGGTTAATTGTAAAGGTCTACAAAATTGAAAACCTATTTACAAAATTGAAAATAATTACATAATCAGGGTTATATGGTATAGTTAAAGTTTCAAGACTATCATTTTAAGTTTGATTTTCAAGTATCCCAAATTTTATGGCATCTAAGATATCCACCATGCTTGTATAATACCAATTTTTAGAAGAGAATTTTGTTAAGCCCATTCTTGATATTACAAAAACGTTGAAAGGGTTGTGATGCTCTTCGGTTATAGTTATAGGAACATTAGTTTTGGGCTATACTAGATAAGGTATACCAAGAGAAAAGCCTATTTGAGAATGTTTCCAATGAAAGTTACCAAATTCTCAAACTCTAGCTTGACCACAAATCAAATACGGTAAGTTGTTCATAGATCCATATGATTTACTAGTGCATTCAATTTGCATTGGGTGGAGTTTTTACCGAGTTTCATGTCATGATTTCGACTCCAAAAATTTACTAAATTTAGGGTGGTAGCCGAGAAAGAAGAAATAGTACAAATTTCTTGATTTTGTATGGGGAAATAGGCAAATTTGTATATGAAATTATCTACAAAGATGAAACATTAATGATGAACCAAATTAGGTGGATACTTACAAACAATACAAATACAAACAATAATGAGGAAAGGAAAACAATTTTTTTCTTTTTTATTAAAAATATGGAGAATGAACAATTTTAATAAGAAACATTCATCTAATGAATTCCCTGAGAACTTATTGAGTAAATGGACTATACAGAATTGTGATCAATCAAATATTGGAAAGCCCCAATAACTATTACCGGTTAGATTGGACTATAACGAAATTTCGGTCTATACCGGCACCATAATATCTGATTGGGGAGGAAGATTAGAATTAGAAATTGATCGAGAAGTAAAGATATGAGCGCATGTGAGCAGGAAACAGAAAATATCTATTCTAGTTCTATCATCACCTATGGGTTCGAATCTTAAGAGAAATTCTTGAGAATGTTTCTACCTTGAAATTTTTCTTTGTCTTTCTTTAACGATAAGGAGAGAAAAAAAATTGGATCAAAAGAGAGTGCCATTTTGGAGTTTTATCAACAATTTTCTTGTGTAGGCCATATCTCATATTTTAAAATGAGATTTTAAGGATGTATGGACAAAATGGTCAATTAATGAACCTTTAGCTAAGTTTAGAGAACCTGATTTGGAGAACCATGTAAGTAGAAACTAGTAAAACTATTGATCTAGTAGATGGAATCATAGTGGAAAAAAAAAAAAAGGTGAGGAACTATTGAGATTGAGTAAGTTTATCAACTTTATTGTACACATGAACATTTATTTCAATGAAGTGCATGAGCCACAAACCTTAGATGAATTATGTTGCCCATGAAATTTTAGAAGAAGGCTCAATATGGCATGATAATGTTATGTACGAAATTTGGTGACCATTAGGTTATGATAACGGGCTAAACCAAGTATATGTGTAAAATGACTAAAATGCTCCAATAATTATGTACCACTAGTTTATGACCAAAGTGACCTCTAAATGACATGAAATTTGACCAGGAGCCTTATGTCATGGTGTAAGGGGATTACACAAAGTTACAAGACCACTGTAATATGTTGAAGAATTAAACCAAGATTTGGGGTGGTAAATGACCAAAAGACCCTTATGAAAATTCTATAATGTTTTTAAGATCCTAGAAGACTCAAAATACTATAGGAAAATTATATGAGACTTATCTATGATATTAAGGATAAGTATGAAATATTTTAGGGAATTAAAACAATTTTGGAGTATGAATCAAGATTTAAAATATGTAACTATCCATCGAGGCACTTTATAAGAAACCAAAGTTTCTATGAATACCAAGTGATAGACTTACGAAATTTTGATGCATGCAAATAAATGTTTATGATTCATATGGATTAGGGTATCCTTGTTAAGAATTTTTACTTAGTGGTATTTGAAGACATAACAAAGAACTCTTAGAATAAAGACCGGAGTTATTCCAAGATTAAAATACTCTTGGGGACGAAAGTTTCTTTTAGAGGTATATGACGTAATAGCCAAAAAAAAAATAATAATAAATAAATAAATAAACAAATAAAAATAATTATAAAATATATATATATCAAAATAATAATAATAATAATAATAATTCATACATAAATAACTAAAAATTACTTAAAAATAAAAAAATAAAATTTACTCACATCTCTCCACTAACCTCTCATCCCAACCCCATCCTCTTTCCTCAATCCCACCATATCACAATTCCAAAAATAGAAGAAAAATGTCAAAGAGAAAAAGTAAAATGGCTTTTGAACCAAAGCAAATATGATTCAGATTTACTTTGGAGAGATTTTTCGTATCTCATATTTCCTTTTTACTTTATAGGTTATAAGAAATTAATTTAGGATTAAATCTTCTTTTCTATTTTACCGGATCTTGTAATAATCATATCCCATATCCAATTAATTAGATTTTTGTTAGCATTTTAAGTTATAGGAAATAAAGTTAGAATCAATAAAATTTTAGTGGGAAGATGTAAGATTGTAGCCCAAGCCAGTAATATCTGTTTACAGAATTAAAAATCTATTTTACAGAATGAAAATAATTACATTATTAGAGAGAGAGGGAGGAGGGAAAATTGAGGGAAGATTTGTTGAAGGTAATTTAAAAATTATCAGTTGAAAACCCCTAAAATTGGCTGCCCAATGATGAATCCCCTGTTTTAACTCCGGCGAGGAAAATGATTTTGGACGAACATTGAAGGTGAATATCTTAGGCTACGATCAACAAAAAGAAACTAGACACAATAAGGAGTCTGTGGAAGAAAATTGGAAGTAATCCGGATACCGGAAGCTCAAGAATGGAGGTCTCGAACATCGACGATGAGGTAAGTAGCCACATTGGATTTTTCTTAAGAAATACTTGTAGGAATCACTTAGATTTTCATATGAACCCTAAACGAAGTATGACTCAAGGATATATGAAAGAAAAATCCAAAGAACCGTGAGTTAAGACTCTAAACCGACCAA